TTATCGAATTGAGTAACCTCCTCCTTTTTCGAAGTCGGTTAAAAATCTTATATTGAAATAATAGAAAGAGGAGCGAGAGTCGTGTACCCTTCATCAGCACTGAGAGAGGAGACTATAGGTCCAACTACCCTAAACAGTCATTCTATCGTCCTCCGACGTTCACATACTAGTTTCCACGATAAAACCTTGTCTAACAATTACAGGTAGCCCAGAGAAATAGAGTCTAGTGTCTTATAGAAGTCTTGTATTAGAAAAATAGAAGAAGAGAGTCATCTTCATTAGCTACTCTTCATTTAAGGGAAGCTTCTCTGGGTCCGCTACCATAAACAGTCATCCTATCGTCCTCCGACGTTCACGATCGTCCTCCGACGTTCACATACTAGTTTCCACGATAAAACCTTGTCTAACAATTACAGGTAGCCCAGAGAAATAGAGTCTAGTGTCTTATAGAAGTCTTGTATTAGAAAAATAGAAGAAGAGAGTCATCTTCATTAGCTACTCTTCATCTAAGGGAAGCTTCTCTGGGTCCACTATCCTAAAGTCATCTTAGCGTCCTCCGACTCTTACATTCTACTTTCCACAATAAAACCTCATCGAACAATTACAATTAACCTTGAGAAATAGCGCAATGAAAGAAAATAGCATAAAAGTCCCGTGTTAGAAAAATAGAAAGAGAGTCATGTACTCTTCAATAGCGCTAAGAGTCTGGGTCCACTACCCTAAAGTCATCTTAGCGTCCTCTGACTCTTACGTACTACTTTCCACAATAAAACCTCATCGAACAATTACAATTAACCTTGAGAAATAGAGCAACGAAAGAAAATAGCACAAAAGTCTCGAGTCAGAAAAATAGGAAGTCCTCATCAGCTACTCTTCATCTTCACCTACTCTTCACCTAAGGGAATCTTCTCTGGGTCCAGTGTCCTCAGCAGTCCCAAATACTAGTTTCCACAATAAAACCTCATCGAACAGTTACAATTAACCTTGAGAAATGACGCAATGAAAGAAAATAGCACAAAAGTCTCGAGTCAGAAAAATAGGAAGTCCTCATCAGCTACTCTTCACCTTCACCTACTCTTCACCTAAGCGAATCTTCTCTGGGTCCAGTACTGGGTCCAGTGTCCTCAGCAGTCCCAAATACTAGTTTCCACAATAAAACCTCATCGAACAATTACAATTAACCTTGAGAAATGACGCAATGAAAGAAAATAGCACAAAAGTCTCGAGTCAGAAAAATAGGAAGTCCTCATCAGCTACTCTTCATCATCACCTACTCTTCACCTAAGAGAATCTTCTCTGGGTCCAGTGTCCTCAGCAGTCCCAAATACTAGTTTCCACAATAAAACCTCATCGAACAGTTACAATTAACCTTGAGAAATAGAGCAACGAAAGAAAATAGCACAAAAGTCTTATGTCAAAAAAATAGGAAGTCCTCATCAGCTACTCTTCACCTAAGGGAATCTTCTCAGGGTCCACTATCCTCAGCCCAAATACTAGTTTCCACAGTAAAACCTCATCATAGACCAGAGAAATACCTCAAAGACCATAGAAATAGCTCATAGACCAGAGAACCAGTGCGAGAGAACAGCACAAAAGAGTAAAACTATTTGTGGAACGCAAAGAAGAGCGAAAGTCATCGACGCGTACGTTTGGTTCGTTGCTCCATCGATGCGTGCGACAAACTTGCTTTCCGCGCGTGGTGGCGGAAACTGTTGGAAAACGTTGGCGGGACAACAATGCTAGATTTCGCGAATCGTAGGGAAAACCGAGGCGCCTGCGTGAAGCAACGCGTACGCGAACTACATAGATAGGTATATAGGAGCGCGTTAGCCGCTCGAGGCGTCACATTGCGTCCCCGAGTACGTCCTTCGTCTTCCTCGAGCGGTCGACCGGCGTTTCACGAGAACATCCGTAAGAAACTAGCGAAAGATCTCCCGCGAATGCTGTGACTTTCCTCGATCGATATCGAACCGTTCGATCGATGGGCAACGGGCTGATTCCATTGACGGTGGTGGCGATGGTGTCCGTCGTCGCGGGGACCATCGGCCAACGAGCTTTCGGCAAGAGGAATCTCGATTATCCAGACTACTCCGCCAAATACGACGAGTATCCGGTGAGTAAAATGGATCCATGGATCGAGACGCGTAAGAGACTGACGTCACGGATTAGGTTACGAAGGGAGTGGATCGAGGGGATCATTCGATATTGACACGTGCCTTTCTTAGTTCTTGCTTGCTTTCATCCAGGGATTTTTCAATATTTTTATTTGGGAGTTTGTTTTATTTACGGTTTTGGGACTTGGGTTTCTTCTTGATATTTCAGAGGGTTTCAAATATTTTTTGCTGGGGTTCTGGAATTTTTTGTGTAGATGTGGGGTTTCAGTTTTGCTGGCTTTTAGTACGAGTTTAGGACGATTTGGGATATTTTTCTGGTGGGGTTAAGGGATTTGGAGGGTTTGGAATGTTTTTTGTGGAGTTTGGGAATTTGGGAAAACTCTACGTTGTGGGGTTTCATTCTTGCAAATTTCTAATACGAGTTTACGACGATTTGAGATATTTTCCTAGCGTAGTTAAGGGATTTGGAGGATTTGAAATATTTTTTGTGGAATTTGGGAAATTTAGGGAACCCCACGCTGTAGGGTTTCATTCTTGCAAATTTCTAATACGAATTTAGAACGATTTGAGATATTTTCCTGGCGTAGTTAAGGGATTTGGAGGGTTTGAAATATTTTTTGTGGAGTTTGGAGAATTTGGGAAAACTCCACATTACGAAGTTTTATTTTTGCAAATTTCTGATACGAGTTTAGAACGATTTGAGATATCTTCCTAGCGTGGTTAAGGGATTTGATAAATCCACTGATTTAAAATTTTCATCGTCGTGAATTTTCAATACGAGTTTTGGAGAATTTAAAATATTTTTTTGTGGGATTTGGGGAATTTGGGGAAACTCCACACTGTGGGTTTTCATTGTTGCAAATTTTTAATACAAGTTTGGATCGATATTTTAATAATTTTCTAGCGTTATTAGAGGATTTGATAAATCCACTGATTAAAAATTTTCATCGTCGTGAATTTTCAATTCGAGTTTTAGAGGATTTGAAATATTTTTTTTGTGGAATTTTGAGAATTTAGGGAAACTCATCACTGCGGAGTTTCATTGTTGCAAATTTTTAGTACGAGTTTGGGTCGATATTTTAATATTTTTAAAGCGTGCGTAGGGAATTTGATAAATTCACTGATTGCGAGTTTTCATTGTCGTGAAACTTCAATACAAGTTTCAGGCGATTTTGAAATATTTTTTTATTGCGTTTTGGAAATTTAATAAATGCACGGATTGCGGACTGTAATAGTCGCGAATCTTCATTATGAGGTTTAGGTGATTTCAGATATTTTTCTATCAAGTTTAGGTAATCTGCTAAATCCACTGATCGTGGGTTTTAATTGTCGTGAACCTTCATTACAAGTTTCAGACGATTTGTATCTATGTATCTATGATTTGTATCTAAATATTTTTCTATCGAGTTTAGGTAATTTGTTAAATCCACTGCTCGTGCATTTTAATTGTCGCGAACCTTCATTACGAGTTTTGAACAGCTATCTAATATCACTGTACTGTCTTTAAGAAATGTACCTAAACTACTGATTGTGGGTTTCCATCATGAAGAGCCTTCATTACAAGTTTCAGACGATTTGAAATATTTTTCTATCAAGTTTAGGTAATCTGCTAAATCCACTGCTCGTGGGTTTTAATTGTCACCAACCTTCATTACGAGTTTTGAACAGCTATCTAATATCGTTGTATTGTCTTTAAGAAATGTACCTAAACTACTGATTCTGGGTTTTCATCATGAAGAGCCTTCATTACAAGTTTCAGAAGATTTTTTAATATTTTTCTATCGTGTTTAAGTAATGTACCTAATTTACTGACTGTAAGTTTTCATCGTTGTATATTTTTAATCCGAATTTTGAAAAATGTGGAATACTTTTCTAGGACGTTTAGGTAATTCAGCATATCTGACTGTGAATTTCTCTATCGCGTTTAGGTAATTTACAGAGTGCATTAACTATGAATTCCCCGTAATCGCGTACCCCGATCGCGCTCAATTACAGCGGTAGGTAGATGAAACGTCGAATTAATTCGTAAACGTTTAGCGACAAGTCATATCGTGGCAAGGTTCGACAGATTCGGTGGATTAATCCTCCGACGCCTGGATCATCCTCGTACCTTGACGAAAGGAATCTATAATCGCTATTAGATCACCCGAGAAGTTTCTTATCCTGCATAATATGTTCATAGAAAATTTATGTTTAAAATAAACTTGGGTAATATGTAAAACTTTAGAAAACAATGACGTACAAATCTTAGAATTCTTTCACGAAAGATTTAAAATTGATGGAGTTTGGAATTTCGAGAGTCCAGGGACTTCAGAGCTAGGAATTCTAGGAAAATTTGTAGACTTCCAAGTTTTATAATCCTTAAATGTGGATTGAAAGTCTTAATAATTTAAGAATATAGAAATTTATAAATCATGGGAATCTAAGGACTTAAAAGTTCCACCTAAAGCTTGCAGAACGTAAAACAAAAACTCGATAACTCGTCGTCAAGAAAAGAAATCCAGATCCGTGGTCGCACAGAGCATCGCAACCCTGAAACCGTTCGCCAAAGAAACCCGTGTTCGAGAGAATCGAGAACGGCGTAATCCAGATGGAAGTCGGTAAGTTTTCCTCTTGATCCCGGACAAAAAAGGTCTACGATTTCCATCCGGTAATCGCGTTGAAGGATATCCAATTGTACGTCGTCCGAGCCGCGAGCTGTCCTCGTTCGTTCTGGCTTTCGCTTGGAATTTCATTCTTCTCGAATTTCTCTATTACTCGATATACATTCGTTCCCCACTGAGCTTTTCTCTCTGTTTCGCGGTAAATGCGGACGTAAGCCGAGAATATTACTGTTCAGGCCTTTTTCCTTCGTAGCTTTTGCAAATTCTCGATACCTGCATTCGAAAGTTGTACTCTCACAAAAAGCGGGAACCTTCCCTCCAAAAATCCACAGATCTCAAGAACGAGATCTTTCGATTTTGATTATCATACCGTCTCATCAAAAAATGTTTATGGCTCTACAATTTTTGAGCTTAATTCAATTCGCATCTTTAATTCAATTCAATATTTTCCAAATTGAATTAACTATTTTTTAAAAGCCTTATATTTGAGAGCACCAAAAAAATTTGTAGGTTCTTTAAATTACAAGTTAAAAAAATTATAAACACTTGAATAAGATATTTTGAAATTCACGAACTTCGTAATCCTACAATTCCCTAGAAATTCCCTAGATTCTGACAGGTCTTAGATCTAGAAATTCCCTATATTCTGACAAGTCACAGACCGTGAAATTCCCTAGATCTGAAGATCTCCCGATTTCAACTATCATACCGTCTCATCGAAAAACTTTCCCTCCAAAAATCCACAGATATCAAGAATTTTAATTCCGAAACCCTTGCAGCTGAAAATTCCTCGCACATCAAAGTCTCGAGCGAGATCGATTACACTGTCTTTCGCGGACGATTTCCTGATCCGCCATGTCATTTTCCGTCCAGCTTACTCCCACGAATCGAGTTAATATTGAATCTGGAAGTCCCAGTTTCCGCAATAAGCTCGCAAAAACATTAATACCTAATTAAAAGGCTACAATAGCGGCGAGATAATAGCGTGCCGCGTGAAAGCATCAATTTTCCCGGGCGTTCGCAACCGATTGCTAAGATCGGACGAGTAACGAACCGATTATCTACGATGTTCGGACAAGCAACGGAAGTTAAGAAGTTGCGCTTCGCGTTCGGCGATCGATCGCGAGGATTCTAATTAGAATCGAATCGAAAACGCGATCGCGGCGAAGATACGAGTCCGGTTCGTCGCGCGCGGTTCGGATCCAAGTTTCCATCGATGCAACGATACACCGTTTTCTCCGGACACTCGTACAGGTTCGAATCGATAGATTCGCCAGCAACAACGCGAGTATTTTTACTTTGTTCGCGTTCGCCGGAACCCTTAACCTACAATTCCCTTGCCGTTCGCGTCGTTCGCGGCTGGCTAATTATCGCCACAAAGTCGGGGCGACCGAAGGAAGTCCGAATGTTAGGCGCGTTTCGCGTTCGGCGATGCTCGATTATGCGGACCGTAATTGGAATCGGATGCAAAATTCAGTGGGAGCGAAAATACGAGTTACGAAACGTGCGTGACGAGTGTGATATCGTGCGGCAAGGAGTTAATATCCTGCGATTCTTCTTCGTCGTCTAGCAATTAGTCGGACGAATCTCGAGACGGGAAAATGAACGGCAACCTTTCGAAGCTGCGAAAAAGCGATTAAAAAAGAGAGGAATCGAGGGAGGAGGGAGGAAAATAATATAAGCCCTCGTGTTTGGAACTTGCTTACAATTCGTCACGTCCTGGCAAATATTGTAGGGCAAGTTTTTCTGTACATCAAGGTTTTATTGCTACTTTTGCGAATGTCTCTCGAATCTCCAAAAAAAATTATAACTTTCTTTGTTCACATGGTCGTTCATTTTAGCGCTGGAAATTTTTTGACGATTGAAAAGAATCGTAAGGAGTTAGTATGCTGATGAGAACACAGAGATCTTCACAAGTTTCATCTTCCAGAAATCTCCAAGTTTCACATTCTGAGCTACTACATATGTACAAGTTTAGAAGCGACGGTATCGCAGCTTACAGTTGGGGTAAAATTTGTAAGGACAGGAAGGTCTGAAAGGGAAACACGGGAGCAAGTGTTTTTCCGGCCGGTGCGTAGGCTTTGACGCAGGGAAAAGGTTGACAAGGGTGCTTTTTAAGAATGCGAATTCTGTTGACTTTCGAGAGTTGATTTCGACTTTGAATGATGAACGATATTTGACTATTTTCACGTTCTAGTGAATCTTTTTATGTTTTTGTAAATTGTAATTTAGAAGTAGAACACCTGTTACACTTTCTAGTGGAGCAGTTTCGCTTGCATGGACGTGTGAGAACACGCGTGAGTCGTGTGAGACATGGGTGGAACGTCTTAATCAGTGATCACGAATGGCGGACAACGGTGATTAATTGATTAGACGGTTTATCTTCCGCTATCAAA